AAAGAAAGAAAGAAAGAAAGAAAGAAAGAAAGAAAGAAAGAAAGAAAGAAAGAGAGAAAAGGAAGGCTGAGGACCTGAGTTCAACTTCGACACCCCTCATAAAAAGAGCCAGGTGTGGTGCAGGGTGTGGTGGGCTAGGCCATAATCCTGGCACTTGGGAAATAAAAGCAGGAAGACCAAGAGTTCAAGATAGCCTAGGCTACAAAAGATCCTGTACCAAAAAAAAAAAAAAAAAACAAAACAAAACAAAAAAACAAATCAATAGAGGACTGGAAAGGTGGCTCAGTGTTAAAAGCCCCAAGGAATGGGGAACGCAGCTCCAGGAGTCCAATGGTGGAGTCCCAAAGGATTTGTGAGCATATCTTAAAATGTCACCACTTGCCTCTGGCACACTCAGAAAAACAGTTTATAATTTGTTTCTAATGGGAAATTTTTACAAATACACAACTGCATACATACAAGCATATGAATAGACGAGTGGAAAACACATCTCCAGTCAGCACATGTAGGTGAAGGCTGCACTGCTCTGGACTAGAGTACCAAGCCCTGGCACCCAAATGCCACTCTAAGGTGTTCTACCATACAGAACACTGCAGAGTGGCCAGCTGGGCTCTGAGCAATCACTGAGTAGAAAAGAAATGCACTGTGCATATCAGTCACACAAAATGGCTTCAAAATGGCAAACAGCCTGTAGGAAATCTTGAGGTATTCTGAAGAAAGTAGGTCTGAGGAGAGAGTAAGCCCTTTCAGCTTCAGCTGCCCACAGGGCTTGCTGCAGCACACAAGAAGCTAAGGCTTAAAAAGGCAAAAGAACCCAAACCAACAAGTCCAAGTCATAGGGGTTCAACATGGCTCAACACGCGGAAGAGCTGACCAGGGACGAGTGGCTAAAACAAGACTGAGCCACTCAGCACGTTCCAGGTGTCTGCAGGTCATGAGGACAGCAGCACGTGCTGCCACTCTTCCAGCTATTCAAAGCTTCTGGTCCAAACAGATCTTCCCCCACTCACACTTGTGTGGTTGGGCTTGGAACCAAACCTATGGCCTTGGCAGAAGCAGCAGACCTGATACTGGGGCTCAGTTGTGAGGTTAGGAGTGAAACATGCGGAGCCGGTCTAGCCTGGAAGAGGCCTGGCACAGAGTATGTACCTTAAAAATGTGAGCTGTTGTCTTTGCGTTGATTCAAAGGATGGCCAGATGCTCAGTAAGGTCCCTTCCCACATCTAAGATGTCTTCATTGACTATTAATCCTGCCAGCCAGCTTCAATAATACCAATATAAATACTTAAGGGCAGGAATGACAACATTCATCTTCAAAGCCTGGATGGTGGGCATGCTTGAGAAACCACAGACAGGAGGCGGGCGCTTACACAGACACAGAGAAACTACAAAAATCAAAACTGAACATATTCAAACAAGTCATATCCTCTGTGTCCTGCTTTCTGGAATGAAGCTGGTTTAAAAAGAAGACAAGCTGGGCTACTGCATCTTCTCAGAGCAAATTAAGTTATTTCAATTGGACTGCTTGCCATGTCTGCCAACTAACACCCCCCGCCACACACACACAGCTGAAAACTTACTTTTTGGGTGCCAGCCGCTTGGATATTCTGCCATGTTGCTATAGGTTCTGTAGCCACCTGCCACTCTGGGTGAGTTTTCGTGAGTAACTTCACAAAGGTGGATTTGCCCACAGCTGCAATGCAAATGGCACATGTTGGGGGCTTCCCAAAGCCAGGTGACAGAGGCAGCCACCAACCTCTGCCGCAAGCACCCATCTCAGGGGAGCAAGTGACAGCTTTTCTGCCTCAAAACTTGGCAGCCATATGACTTGCTGTCAGCTTGGTGATGGCTTGGGTGGCTAAGCAGTTACCACAGGGCAACAGGGAGGAGACCTGGTCTTAGGATTCAGGCTGTAATCATAAAGAGCCAACCTCCAGATGCAGAGTATTAGTAACTGCTGAGAATATAACAGAACCTTCAAAAGTGGGTAAGACAGATGATGTGACTCTAAAGCTTGGGCTGTGACTGTAGAAACTGAAAGCTCAAGGAAAAACCATGAGCCTCACTCATTCAACAAACCTTATACCCGCGGAGGCTAACTTGTGCCTGTGACCGTCAAGCCCTGGAGTATGATGTAATAAAATACTGCATGGATTTTATCCTCAGAGGACATGGATGATGATACATAAGAAGCTAGCTGATAAACCATGCTGTCTGAGAAAGAAAATTGCAGAGTGTCTCAGGAATTGGGAAAGGCTCCTTTGAAGAAATGTTGTCTGAGGAAGCCGAAGGATGAGCAGTCGGCCGGGCTGGGGTGGGTGAAGGATAACCCACATGGGGAGCAGCATGAGCCAAGGCCTGGGAGAGGCAAGGAAGAGACTGTGGCAGCCCAGGAGCAGTGGGCAGGAATGTAGCACCAGGCGCGAGGAGAGGAGAGGTGAACAGGGACGGCCAGGCAGATAGGCCCTGAAGTGCAGGCCGCACAAAGCTTTGACCTCCCTGGGCAGAAGTAAGTGAGAAGCAATGGGCTTCAGCAGGGGCACGACAAGATTCCTTCTCAGCTTTTTCTTTTTTCTACATGTAGGAGCTTCCTGGCCTGTATGCGCGTATGTCTGTGTGCCACCTGTGTGCCTGGCGCTCCAAAGAGCAGAAGAGGGTGTCAGAGGCCCTGACATGAATTCCGGATGACGGGGGTGGTGGTGGTGCTGGAAACTGAACTGGGGTTTTCTGTAACAGCAATAAAATGTTCTTACTACTGACCAGCCCTCTGGCCCCTCCTTAGCCTTTATTTTTTATTTTTATTCTTTGGGGAGACAGGGTTTCTCTGTGTAGCCTTGGCTCTCCTGGACTCACTTTGTAGACCAATCTGGCTTCACACTCACAGAGATCTGCCTGCCTCTGCCTCTCCAAGTGCTGAGATTACGCCCAGCTGCTCCTTCTCAACTTTAAAAGACCACTCCATGAGCTATATAATAATGTGCCAAAGTTAAAGTTGGCAGAACAATCAGAAGTTAATTGTGGCTTGACTTGGGTGATAGCAAGGAGGTGGAACCAACCTACATCTAGCCCACCTGTCCTGAGCTCTAGGTCAGCAGAACCTTCTGGGTGCCCCATGCACAAGCTCAGAGTCAGCGCATTCCCCAAATAAACCATCACCAACCCAGCCTTCAGAGTACTGTAACATCCATTGCTGTCAGAATCTCCTTCTCTGGCAGACCTCCAGAGGCCCCAAGGCCTTCTGCCTGCATTTCTAACTTTTCCTCAGTTGTCCTTCTTCTGTTTGCACCTCCATACTCAGGACCAGATCCTCGGCGTCCCTATCCTCTTTGACTCCAGCTGTGTTTTCTACAACTGAACTTCCACACTGCAGCTGCAGTGCCTTTGAGGCACAGCTTAAAATCCTGTCAGGACTGGTGCACCTCTATAATCCCAGCATTCAGAACTGCTGGGGCAGGAAGTTCATGAAGTTGAGGACAGTGGGGGCTACACTGTGAATATGAGGTCAGCCTAGATACATTAAGACACTGGTTCAAAACCGAAATCCTTCTGCTTTCATCAACAACAGAAAAGTGTATCTCTCCATCCATCACCTGGGGGTGAGGCGGCATGCCAGGGCATGGAGAGATGAGAGGACAACTTGTGGGAGTTGGAGCTCTTCATGTGGGTTCTGGGGATCAAACTCAGGTCATCAGGCTAGATAGGCTTACTTCCTAAGCCATCTCACCAGCCTCCACGTTTTGTTTTCTGTTTTTCAAAACAGGGTTTCTCTATGTAGCCTTGGCTGTCCTGGACTCACTTTGCAGACCACGCTGGTCTCAAACTGAGAGCAATCCACCTGCTTCTAGGGGCCTCCCAAGTGCTGAGACTAAAGGTGTGCACCACCACCGCCCAGCTCAGTCTCAATTTTTAAAACTACTTTTATTTACTTGTATGCACAATGGTTGGTGTGTGGAGGTCAGAAAACAACTTGTAAGAGTTACTTCTCTACTTCTTTATGAGGGTCCTGAGAACTGAACTCAAGGGGCTGGCAGCAGGTACCTTTAGATAAACTTTAAGCCTACAGCCAGGCAGTGGTAGCACTTGCCTTTGTCCTAGCACTTGGGAGGCAGAGGCAGGGGGCTATCTTGAGCTGGAGGATGGCCTGGTCTACAGAGTGAGTTCCAGGACAGCCAGGGCTACACAGAACAAACAAACTGTCAAGCCTATAAACACAGTCTGGATAGAACAGGACCCAGCCCTACAGATAACCCTCTCATGTCTCAGCTTTCCTACTGGCCTGAGCTCCTTACAACCCCAGTCATACCATGATTCCTAACAGTGTGCCTGCACTGCTTTCCCACTTGCTACAGCATGCCCTCTCCACACCTGGTCCATTCCTACTCAGCCTTCCAGGGTCTGCTCAGACGGCCGTCCTGGGTGAAGCCTTTGCCGACTCTGAAACCTCTGAACTGGGCTAGCTAATCCTTTCCGAGTTCTAGATGTGACTTCGTCACTACCATGACAACTGTTTCTCTAGGTAGAAGATGGGGCTTCACTAGGACAGAAAACCAAACCCAGCCTCACATTCTACTTAAACATTCACTACACTATTTTCAGTTCCCTCCAAAAAGACCAGTCTGAATGAGTTGGTTCAGAGCTCGGAGCCTAGCACCTGGGAGGCGGAGGCAGGCATATCTCTTCTTTCGAGTTTGTGTCTACTTGCTCTACACACTGAGTCGTGGGCTAGCCGAGGCTGTGTACTAAGACCCTCTCTTAAAAACAAAACAAAACAAAACAAAACAAAACAAAACAAAACAAAACACCTCAATCTCCCTTATCAGAAGTGGTCTTTCTCAAGCGAGTTCCACCCTTTGGGGGAACCCAAATGGAACCACGCGCGTGTGTGATCGACCAGGAGTGCCAGGTGGCAGCACAGGGCCGCACATCAATCCGTGGCAGTTGTCGCACAGCACCTCACTCTTCTGAGAGCACAGGAGAACAGACAGCTTTGCACAGTCACGCTCTCCTCCGTCCACCTCCACCCAGCTTCGTGTGTTCATCTTGCTCTGCCTCTGCTCTGCCCACACAGATGTGAGTAAATGCCTTCCCTTCCCTCGAAGCTCCATGCCAGTGGCTTAATCCTCCCTCCTCCACGTCCAGCACCTCACCTCTTAAGTGAGTTACTTCTCTAGCTAGCTCCCTATTCCTACAGTGATGAGTAACCAACTGGTTGAGGTGCAGGTTTTTCAAACCTGCCTGTGCTGAGTAGGCTCCAGCTTAAAATATATGGCCTAGGCAGCTAATATCTAAAGTATAGGCTGTTCAGTAAGTCTGAAAGATGGTCCTTATGTTTAAGCTGAAAAGTTATTGAAAAATGTAAAATGATACTTATCTGAGTCAAGACACAGAGGACAGGGGACAACTTGCAGGAGCGGTGTCTACCTTACACCATATGAATCCCTGTGGACTGAATTCACATCCTTGGTTTGGTTGGCAAGTGCCTTTACCCACTGAACCACGAACCATCCTGCCAACTCCTGAAAACTATTTAAAGTAATATGAAAAAGCAAGGCATTGTGGCTCATGACTACAAGCTTTGCAACTGCGAGGTCAAGAGTAGAATATGCTCCAAGAGAGCCCTAACGTCAGTCTCTTCAAACACTGTCTCAAAACAAGCAAATTGAAGAAGTAAAACAAAAAGATGAGAGCAGGTGCTTGCTGATTAGAACTAAATGACCATTAGACATGCCTGCCTCTTTACAAGTGAAAGATGGAGGCTTCTACGGGTCAGGGAGCACCAACTGCCTATCTCCGGTCAGGCAGTATCAGTTCATCTGAGGGCATCAGAATTCTGAGAATTCAAGTCATGTCAGCTAAACACGCAAAATCTATTGTGCCAACAAATACAATGGGAAATCTACAGCTCCAATTACTGGAAGAGTCATTTCTGAAGTCCAGGGCACCCTGTGTACAGTAATTCCAAGGCTTCTAGAAAGTTTGCTGAGTAATCAAAAGCCAACATCAGCACAGAAAGACAGTAAACAGTGATGGAAGGGCCTGGGTAATTCACTACCAAGTAGCACTTCCTGAATACCCACACAGAAGTGACTAAACGCCATTAGACCTGAGCTGTGTCCAGGCACCACCCACACACATGGGACGGTCACTTCAATAATGCAAGGCTGTGTATTCAAATAAAACCTGGAGCTGGTGAAACTTTCCAGGGATGTGATAGCTACTGTTCTTCCAGAGGACCTCAGTTCAGGTCTTAGCACCTACACTGGACAGCTCACAATAGCCTGTAACTCCAGTTCCAGGTCAGACGTCCTCTTCTGATCTCTAGAGGCTTCACACTGGGGTTTGGTTCTCTACCGCCACAGAGGCTTGCTAATGTCTTCAGCCAGTGACCCTTCAGAGAAGTGTTTTTGTTAATCTCGGACTTAGCACACCTTAGTTGGCTCCCCCGTCACTGCTGTGTTTCTGGGAAAGTGTCCCCCTGTCAGGCTGCAGTAAGTCTTTCTTTAGAGCCTTGCTGTTGGTGTAGTCTAACTTGGTTCTACGGAAAGCACTTTCTTAGAGTGCATTACCTCAGCGAGTGAGCTTTCTAACTTTAGGGCAGTCGTTCCACAGCCTGACAGAGTCTTGTTGTAACTGCCTATCTTTTAAGTCAAGGCTTTTTCTTCTCACAAATGTCTCTATAAACTGCATGCTTGT